AGGGGGGTGTGCGTGTGTGGTGGAGGGGCCCCAGAGTCCTCGGACTGTGCAGGTCCCCAGCTGCACATGGTAACAGGTTGCGGGTCCAGCCCCACAACGTGCAGCTCCCTGCACTCCTATCCTCCTTTCTACCAATGGGAGTCCCTGGCCCTGGCCCAGTGGGGCCGTACCTGAATTTCCACTCTTGCAGGGAGGGAGGAAATAGGCACAGGGTCGCCAGCAAAAGCCTTTGCCAGACAGAGGCTTCTTGTGTCTAGTACCTCCTAGCCTGGGGCGGTGGCTGGGGTGGGTCAAGCCAGGCTGGGGCTGGTTGCTTAGCAACCAAAGTCACATCTCCTGCATGATGGTGCCAGCCTGCAGAGAGGCAGCAAGGGCTGGGGCCTGTGATCATTCCTTCAGCTTATAGAGGGGCCCTGCCGGCCGGCTGGAATTGTCTGGCAGGTCAAATGTGGCCTGCAGGCTGTATTTTTCCTGCCCTGGCTTTAGGGCATCTATTCTCCAGTTCTGTCCAACTATTCACCAGCCCAAACTTGGCTGTCCTAATCCCCGTTTTCAGTGATGTTCCCAGCTTATTACAATAAATATTAATAATATACAGAAATCTGGTATGTCTCATGCAAAGACCCCAAATAATTTACAATTACTATACACATGAAGATCAATTTATGAGCACCAGAAATATGGCCACTTATGAGATGGAATGTGGTGGCTGTTTAGAAACCTACAGCCACAATATACAATGGTTCAAGACGCGAAGTGAAGACAAACACGATATTCATTTCAAACTCCAGAGGGGGATTTAAGCTGCCAGAATGTAAATACTTATGTTGAATTTTAGCCAGAATACTTGGCCTAGTACTCCAACTCCTGCAAAAAGCACTATAGAATTTATAATAACTCTTCCTTTTATATTGGCATATTTACAACTAACATTAATACTACTGATAGTTTAGGATGCCGTAGGCACCCCTTTTAGTACGACTGATGGGTCTGTTGTGAGCAAGACTAACAACAGAGGAACAAATCTAGCAAGACAGTTGAGGAAGGGGCCGTCACAACTTCTCCTGCCTGTGAGGATTTATGCTTGCTGATAGCCTCCTCCGTGCATATTATATGCTTTGCAATACACGTCCTCTCCTTCTGATCCACAGTTTTCACTCTTTTGATGCAGTTGCACTCTCCGCTGGCTTCACTCTCAAGTGGCAGTTTCCTAGGTCTTGGTTGCAATGTCATTCTTCTTCTAATGTCTTTTGAGGACATCCTTACAGCGCAGTTCTGCTTTTCCACGTGGCCTTGTTTGTATCAACTCACCGTAGAGCACTAGGCTATGGGGCTGTACAGAACTGATGTGAAGGCTTACTGCTGCCCACTTTCCTTCTTTGGGCAAGCATCTCCTTTGCATAGAGGGCTGCAAAGTGGCCATCTCCTCTGTGGTTGCCATCAGGACAAAAGGCAGTCACACCAGCTTTGTAACAGTGCCTTGATCCCGCCTCTTTTTTTAAACACCCCCCAAAACGCTGTGCTACTACTTGGTGCTGGAGAGTAGGGAGAGAGATAGAGACATGCTCCTTCATCTACAGAGACTGCCTGCCCCACACTGAGAGAGATAGGTGGGGGGGGGGGAGGCAGGGAAGGGAAATAGTCTATTTAAATAAGACTACAGAGCAAGAGTCTCTCTCAAGGACACTGGGCAGTTTGCACATTAAAGAAACTTATCCAGTTAGAAATTCCAGACTTGCAAAAACCCTAGGCATGAAGGGAGATGCCAGCATGTCAGAAGTAAGAACAGTTTCCAGTTGTCTCCAGTCACAGTTGCAGATGCAGCTGACTTACAGCAGTAAGTAACTTGTCTGTGGCCCATGAAATCTGGGGCAGAACCAAGCTCTAAACCTTGGTCTCGAGTCCCATTAAGATCCACCAAGTTCTTTCTGTCATTAAAGCTCACTTGATCTTAGTTACTTTACTGCCCCATTAACAGAGAAAATGGGTATCCCACATTTCATGGCTTCTACTAGTTGCCCATAAGGGCTAGAAATAATTCCCCTTCCCCCACTCCCAATCTCTCCAACTATATTATTTGGCTTCTGAGGCTTTTTTCCCATTTTCCGCAAAAGCATTAGACACTGGTCAGAGTTTGAGGTAAGGATGTGTGCAAGTGTGCTGGTGCTTCTAAGAATACTTAAAAACCTCTGAGGTTGGCAGATCCTGGCTGGCTAACAGATCGTGCTCATATGCTCAAGATCATACCACTGGCCAGATTTGGTCTCACAAAGGAGTTTTCCCTTCCAGGTGAAGGTCTATGCCTTCCTCTGTAATGTGGGGCACAGTCCCCTTCCTAGGAGGATTGGAGCATATCCTAACAAATTTCCTGGCACTGCTCTGGCAGGACATTGATGATGCCCTCATTTCCGCTGCCTTTTACCTGTGACATAGTGTAGGGGGTTTTCCATAATGTGCCTTGTGGCTGTGGTGTGCTTTAAGGGTATGAGCGGATGATCTTTTGGATCTTCTGGGCAAATGGCTAACTGAAAACACAGGGGACTAAGCTCCACGGGCATTTTTCCATGAGTCATGGAATGTGGTGCTGGACGCTTTAATTAGCGACCCACGCTAATTAAAAGCGCCCGCATGTCCTGTGTATCAGCATCGCCACGTATCCCCATGCTGAAAAATGGCAGTGGGGTGCTTTGAACTAAACCTCATCGAACGTGTTTTATTTCAAAGTGCCCCGCCACCATTTTTTCAGCACGGAGACGTGTGGCAGCACTGATACACGCGACACGAAAGGCTGCCGGAACGCGTTTTGTGCTCTGGCAGACTTGATTGAGTCTTCTCCGATGTGCAGGCTCTGTGCATATGTGTAGAAGCCCTATGGCTCAGAGAGGCCCTTCCAGTCCTATTGTACCTACAAAGTACCAAGTGAAATTTAACTAGCACAAATGACAAGACATGAGGTTTCTCTCTCAGAAGAGTGAGAAGTCTACCAGAGAGAACAGCCCCCACAGGTCCACACCTGTCTGAGATCTCACTCATAACACATCAAAACAGTGATTGCTCTCAAACGTGTTCCAACTAAGTATGCCCAGGAGGAACCTCCCAGGATAGCAGGGCCACAGCTTTCTCAGCTGCAGGATCCCAGCCACTGTTACTCAAGAGGATCAGATGGAACATGACCCTGCAAGTTATGACAGCAAAACTTGCCTTTCTTAATAAGGCCTTCTTTCCCCACTTAAAGCACCTCCTCCTGGGAAAAGGAAAGGGAAGGAGCAGCACAAATGGGATAAGCATGACCATCAGCATGTAGAACTCATGACTTGGGTGTCACTAATTCAATTCCTTTCTCTGATACAGTCTGACCCTGTGTGACACTGGGCAAGCCATTCTGTCCTTGCTTTGAGCCCCTTTATGCCAAATAGGGGTAACAGCAACTTCATCTCTCTCACAGTGGTGAGGTAAGGATACAGACAATAAACATGATGATGTACTGCAGTAATGGCACCACAATAAGCATGGAGGGCAGACAGGAAAAGGCAATAGACAAAACCCATTCACACTTGGCCTGGGAGAGACCATAGAGTGCTTTCCTAGCCACATCCATTATCCTTAGCAGCTACTCAAGTGTGAAGATGTCACTGGCATCCATTACCTATTTCTAAGCCAGGTTTTAAAAAATTCTCTCCCCCTCCCCACCCCTCCCTAAGACATTAAAATGCTCAAAACTGCAAGACATGGAGCACACACCAGCTTGATCTGCTTTTTGTTTCTGTTCCTCTCTTTTATCTAAAGCTTGCTCTCATGTGCTTGCTCTCCCTTTTGCTGTTTGAAACTTAGTGCCTGGGGAGAAAAAAAGGACAAACTGGCAGCAGGAAGCAGTCCCAGGGGCAGTTCTGGCTAGCTGTCTTTCTGAGAGGTCCAAGCAGGAGGTATTGCTTCATCCCAAGAAGCAGTAAATAGTTCCCATAGATTTAGCTTGCTGGGAGCTAAACAGCGCCCTGAGCTACGTGCACAATAGATCAGTTGAGGATAAGATCTACTGTTTCCGCATAATAAGACT